GGTCAAAGACTTCAGTGCGACACTGAGATCCGTAATGGGATTTGAGGGCGCATTCAAATGCATTGTTCAAAAATGGACATCAACCATATTTAAAAGGACGCATTACAAAAGGATCAATTCCAGGACTTAACTTAACTGCGACACCGAGATCCGTATTGGGATGGCCAAGGGCGCATTCCAAAAGCTGGCCAGAGTATTGCGAGACAGGACGATTTCTTTGGTAACAGAAAAGAGCATTGAGCTGTTACGTGACATCTGTCCTTTTTAAAGACAGCGAATTTTGGACGGTCTCTTAAAAGGTCAAGAAGAGACTCGAGGCGACGGACGTATGGTTCTGCAGAAGGATGCTAATCGTGATCAACGATGAAATCTAGGAGAGGATGCAAACAAGGGGGAGGCTTATACTTAACATCAGGAAGAGGCAGCTGAAATTTCTGGAACATGTAATGAGAAAGGAGGTCCTAGAGAATCTGATACTCAAAGGGCGAATAGAGGGAAATGGAAACAAGGGAAAATAACACATGACATAGTAAGTTGATGACTGAACAGGGTCTGTGGGAGGTGGCAGAGGGACGAAACTTAGTGGAAGTTACGAGAGATGGGGGGGAAGTGGAGAGCCATGATCGACTACGTCCTGAAGGGACACGGCACATAAAAAGAAACGAAAAGAAGGAAGCTTGTTTAAATGATAAAATATTAACTTTGTTGTTTTATTCTTTAAACCTCCAGACCAAGGCAGCCTTCTGGCCTAAGATTGAGAGACTTTATTATTGTACTTTTGACATCATTACTCTCCTCCGAGACACTGTCTAGCTGTCTGGCCCGCTCTCTTCAAAATGTTTACGACTCCTAATTTATAGCATAGTTTTTTTTTTCGTTTCAAAACACAATTACACAATATTTCTTTGCCATTTCATCTGTTTTCTAAATTTTGAACAATTTTCTTAATTTTTTTTTTAGCGCCATTTTCCAAATATTAGGTTGGTGCAAAAATAATGACGTAATAATGTCGTTTTTTCACGTTAAAAATACGTCAAAAGACGACATTATTACGTCATTATTTTTGCACCAACTAATATAATTCCGAATTTTATTTAACATACAAATCGACTGAAATGCGTCCTTAAAACTCTTGATTAAATGCAGTATTTTTTATGTGATTAGAACTTTCTGTCTTCACTGTCTTTTTCATGCAGAAAGTAAGCGGCAGTCTAATAAAAAAATCACATATAAGCCGACTCCGAACTATTCAATGCCTGAAAAATAGTCAAAAATCCCAAGCCTGAAAATAGGCAAAAGTCCCAAACCTGAAAAATAGGCAAAGGTCCAAAGCTAGAAACATAGGCAAAATCCAATGCTTGAAAAATAGGCAAAAACCTGAAAAAAAAAGGGAAAAGCCTGAAAAATCCAAAAAAAGCCTGAAAATAAAAAGACCAAATCCTGAAAAATAAAATTTTTTTTGAAATATTTTAAAAAAGCCTGAAAAAATAGGCAAAATATCTTAAAAGCCTGAAAAATAGGCTTTTAAAAAAAGGAAGGCAAAACCTTAAAAATGGCAAAAACCTGAAAAATAGGCAAAAACCATGTTGAAAAAAATAGGCCAAAAGCCTGAAATATCCAAAAGCCTGAAAAATCAAAAAAAAAAAAAAAAAATCAAACGGCAAGCTTTGTAAATCGACGCAGCTAATCAACACATACTCTTCAGATGGCGCAGTTTTGTAACTTCCCACGCGTTGAGAATCATGTTTATGCATTTTAATATTTTGATATCGTGATAAGTATTTTTAAGTCTCATTTAGAGAAGTGGTTCCCAACCTTATTTAAGGCATGGCTCATTTTGAACCCAGCATTTTATTATGGCCCGTGAAATTATTATACAGTAAAAAAGTACTTCCATTTTGTGACTCATAATCTGTGGCCCATTAAAAATTATATAACTTCTGTGGCCCACCTGAAATTTGCCATGACCCAGTTTAACCACAGATTAGCAAACATTAATTTAGTGTATAATTTTTATTTCACAACTTCATTACGAAATGATTTTTGCAGTTTCATCTGTTTTTTTAAAGTTTTAACAAGTTTTCCAAATTTTTGTTGACTTCCTGTCAGTAGACAACAGCGCCATCTTCCGAATGTAAAGGCATTTTATTTAACATACAAATCGACTCATATATGTGCCTTAAAAAATTTGGGAACCATTTAATTTCTTACAAGTAGATCCATTTTTGCAAAGTCAGAGTAAACCTGATGTCCATATATTAGGTACCTTCACAAGATCGCTAAAAAAACACCATAACATGATGAAAACATGCCCCAAACGGAAGGAAAACAGTTTTAACATCAAAATCTTTATGTTATTATTAAAAGGAACGATCAAAGTATTTTTTTTATTATTTAATTAATTCTTTTTGCTCCTTTTTACAACATTCGAAATTTTGATTAAAAAAAGACTTGTATTTCTTGCGTCTGCGGTTCTAGTAACTTTCAACATAGTAAATTTTAGCCCTTTTTTTAGAAATTCTTGTAAAAATCAAATAATTCTCTGAGTTTAATGAAATTTTCAGAACTTATTCACAAATGAATACAATTATTTTTTAATGTTTTTATTAGAAATTCTTGGTAAAATATGATTTTACACATTTTTCTTCCTCTTACTTCATTTTATAAAAGCTTCAGAAATTCATCAAAATAATTTGTTGTGACTACATTAGTTAAAAGCAGAATTTTTTGAAGAATTTATATCACCGATTTTATTTTGCTAAATCGAACAGGTTCTTACCCAAAATAAGTAATCGAAAAATAAAAAACGCAGTAAAATTAAGACATTATTTAATTAGAGACGTTTTGAATTACTTTCATATACAATATATATTAAAGACAATATTTTCTGAAGAAAAACTTTTTTCGATGAAAAATTGTTTTTACAAGATTTGTTTTCATTTTTTACAATTTAAAATTGAATAATTCATAAAGTTTTAAATCTTTCAAAGTTCACTTTCCATCAGATAATTTTTAGGAAATATTGTTATTACGTAAAACTATATTTACTAATCATATATTTTAAAGCTGATTACAATCTGAAGACACCGAATATTTTTAAAAGAATTTCGATTTGCTTTTATATATGTATATCGATGCAGAATTTCTGAAATATGGATGTACAAATTGATATATCTATTAATAAAAGGTCACGTGTTATAAGGGCTGTCCCCACTTACGAGAAAAAAAAACCGCTAATAAAAATTGATGTCTGCTACAACATAGATAAAATTATGATCACGAAAAACAGGACGCCATGTTTAAATGATTGCGTAAAACCTTTTATGCTGTAAATAAGTAATATTTGCTTCAAATCAGATTAACTTAACTTTAAATTTGCTAATTTTCTTCAAATGACATTTCAGAAATCTATATTTTATTTTGCAAAGTTTTTAAAACGGAAAGATAAGTTTTGTTTACAAATGTCTAAAAAATAACGAACGTGATCGAATTTACTGAAAAAAATGTAACTTCATTCCAATCAATATAATTTCTGTTTGAAATACACCAGTATTTTGTTTAATGGGTATAGTAAATTTAATCCTTTAGCTTTCATTTAAAGCTAAATTGAAAGCTTCATTAAATCTTTTTCATTTTTAAAAATCATTTTAAACTTTGCGAGGATATTTTATTTTCCAATCGTTAGTGGGTGATTTCCAGCAATACTTTTTGGGAAAATATTACCAAGAACACATTTTTGAAAGAAAAAACATATTACCAGCAATACATCTTTGAACAAAAATATTACCAGCAATAAAAAATCTTGTCGGCATTAAATAACCCATTGAGGTTGTTATGCTGTAGAACAAAACAAAACAATCATTTGTCATCTATTCATTTTTTTTCTTTGATTTGGGGTGATCTCGTTTGCCGATGGCAATGAAGATTCTCTTAACGTGTCCCACTTCGGGTTTCTATTTTAATTTTTGTCCAGTTATTTCTCCTCCAAAATCGAGTCATTCAAGAATCGTGTAGCAATTTTGGGTGCTGCCTTTTGGCCTCTTCAATGTCCGTAATTTTATTCTAAGTTTACGCCTAAATGGAAGGTGATCGATTCCGCTGTCGGCACTTGAATAGGTTCTGCATTCCTGAATTTCTTGTAATCGATTTGTATTTTTGTTTTTCTTCCTTGGCTTCTCCATGTCCATATTCGTCTTGGGAGTTCTTGAAACCAGATGTTGGTTACGATCTAGTCATTCACCGTACATCTTTCGACCTATTTGTCACCGCATTCATGAAGGGTTCCTAGTCAAATTTTGCCAACTACTTCACTATAACTCTCGTTGCTTACTTTCGCATTCAGATCTCTTATGACAATTATAATTTCTTGAGATTTAAGGTAAATTTTGGCGTTGACGAGCGTAGTGTAGAATTTTTGTGCTGCCCGAGCATACATAACTATGATGGACATATTGAAAGGCTTTCCGTTCTGTTTAACGATAAGAATTCTATCATATAACTGATAGTATCCCAGAACGCATTTCTTCATGTCTTGATCTAGTATCAGTCCTACGCCTCTTTCATTTTTCTCTTTGCCTCAAAATATATAATCCTGTGTTTGTGACTGACAAAATCTCCACTGGATTAGGAAGGCTTCATTTGCTGAATTCTTCATCAATTTCTACCGATTATTTCTTTTTTTCTATCCTATTTCCAAAAATCCCTTTAATCTAAATTAATCTCTTTCTCTCTCTCATTCTGTTCTATTGGATTATCTGTCTCTCTCTCTCTCTCTCTCTCTCTCTCTCTCTCTCTTCTCTCTCTCTGTCGTCTTGAATGTCTTTCTTTTTCTCGTTTTCTCCATTTCTCCTTCTTTCCCATTTTATTTTCTTTCTTCTTTTTTCTCATATTTTCTCTTATACTTTCCTTTTCTTTATTTTTTATTATTCAAATTATTTGAAAGAGAGAGAGGGACACAAAAGGATTCCTTTTGAACTTTATCTTTCTCTCCTTCCCTCTCAATGACGTCCTCTTTCTTCCGTTCTTTCATTTTCTTTCTTTTTTATTCTTCCATTCTCTTCTCTCTAATTGTGATTAATAAGCAACGTCTAACCTGGTCAGTTCCTAGATGGGTGACCGCTTGGGAATACCAGGTGCTGCAGATTGGATGTGCGGGTGGTATAATGCATAATGGCTCGGTTTTCTTAATCGGAGAGCCAAGTTCTAATTCCCCTTGAGTTCATTATATTCACTTACACGCAAATTGCGAAAAAGAGAAAATTGTGAATGCACTTCTTCTCTCCCCAGCTATGGGTTAATTAGTAAAACTTATATCAGTAAAATGAGTATTATCACAAAAAAAAAAAAAATTCTTAAAATTTAAAAATGGTTTCTGGCTTGAGGGTTGATAAACCATATAAAACGAATCAATCTTTCTGACGGCCATTATCTTTCTAGGTCACACTGCTTTTTCTTTCCATTTTTTATTTCTTTATTCTCTCTTCTTCATTCTCTTTTAAAACTCTCTCTTTTTCTTCATTTATCTCATTCTCTTTCATTCTCTTTCATTCTACCATCCACTCATCGACTGCATTATTTTTCACACTTCACTATTTTTTCTTTTCTCTTTCTTTTTTCTTTATTCACAATTGTGTTTTAATCGTTTACTCTTTCTCTCTCTCTTTCTCTGTTTCTTGTATTTTACTCCTTCTTCATTTCTCTTTCTCTCTTCCTCTCTCACCCGATGTCTTCTTCTCCATTTTTCCCGCCTACACTTTTCTTTATCTCTTATTTTCTACCTTACGTCTTTCGTTTCTCCTTTCTCTCTTTTTAAGTTCCTCTTTCGTTTTTCGTTTCTCTTTTCTCTTCCTCTTTCTTTCTCTCTCTCTCTCTCTCTCTCTCTCTCTCTCTCTCTCTCTCTCTCTCTCTGTGACACACACACACAGACACTAGATTTCTGGTTTTAACTCATTAACTAGCTTGCAAGTTTTATGTCTCCTTCTCTGTCCCTCTTATGCGACTATATCTATCTCTATCTTTCTCCCTTTCTGTCGCGGTCTTTCTCTTTCTCTCACACTCAATCACTTTTTGCGCTCTTTCTTTCTTTCTTTCTTTCTTTCTTTCCTTTTTCCCTCGTTATATACATTCTATTTCAACTAACCTTTCTCTTTCTCTTTTATAGTTCTCTCTCTCCCCCCTCAGTTCACACTTCTTCTTCTCGTTCACTCTTACTCATTCTCTTTCTCTATCATTCTGTCCCCATTCTTTTTCTGTTCCACATTTTTCGTCTCCCTCCCTTTAACTCTTACGCACTTCACTCTGGCTCCCTCTCTATATATGTCTATGTTTCTTTCTGTCCCTCCCTCCCACTTTCTCTCTCTCCCACCTCTCTCTCCTCCTGCCCTCACCCTCCCTCTCGTTGCCTCTCTCTATATGTCTATCTTTCTGTCCGTCCCTCCTTTCCGCTTTCTCTCCGTCCACCCCTCTCTCCCCTACCTCTCTCTCTCTCTGTCTATATATATATATATATATATATATATATATATATATTATATATATATATCCCTCTCTCTCCCCTGTCTCTCTCTATATCTATCTCTCTCTGGAACTCTCTCTCTCCCTGCCCTCTCTCTCCCTCTCGTTTCCCTCTCTCTATATGTCTATCTTTCTGTCCCTCCCGCTTTCTCTCTCTTCCCCTCTCTCTCCCCCGCCCGCTCTCTCTTTCTCTTTCTCTCTCCGTCGTCTTTCTTGTTGTCCGGAATACAGTTTGGTTTGTTATATTCACTTACGCGTAAATACGCTTGGGAAAGTTGAGAATTTCTCCGGGGTTCCCCAGCTATGGCTTAAATAGTAGAAATTGTATTTGGAAAAATCATATTTATTAACTAATCATCGTAAATGATGCAGCAATCACACGCAAATAAAATGTATTATTTTACAAGCGAAAATAAGTTGTCATTAAATAATACACAAAGGGTCGATAAGCCGTAAAAAACAAATCGTTCAATCTCGTTCTTCATTTGTAATGCATTCTTTCTCTTTCTCTTTCACTCATTCTTTTTCTCACTGTTTTCCCACATTCCCTACCTTTATTTCCCCCTTTCCCTCGCTCTCGCATTCCTCTCTGTCTTTGTCTCTGTCTCTCTCTCTTTCTCTCTTTCTCTCTCTCTGACTCGAGAATTTTTCCCTTTTTCTTTTTCACACATTTTCAACCTTTTTCTATCTGTTTTTCACATATTCCCTAACTTTATCCATTTAGCTCTCCTTTCTCTCCCTCTCGAAATCCTATTTGTCTCTGCCTGTCTCTCTCTCTCTCTGTCTCTCTCTCTCTCGTACTCTTTCCCTTTCTCTTTTCGCTCATTCTCATCCTTTTTCTCTTCGTTTTCCCCTTTCTTTCCTTCCCGCAATTCACTCTCTCTCTCTCTCTCTCCCCCTCTCTCTAGTACTGTTTCTTTACTCTTTCACTCATTCTCATTTATTTTCTCTCTGTTTTTCCCGTATTCCTTACATTATTAATTTTATCTCCCATTTCTCTCCCTCTCTTATTCCCCTCTCTGTTTCTCTACCTCTTCCACTCCTCTCTCTCTCTCTCTCTCTCTCTCTCTCTCTCTCTCTCTCTCTAATACAACTTCCCTTACTCTTTCACCCATCCTCATTCTTTTTCTTTCTGTTTTCCCCACTTTCTCTACGTTTATTTATTTTATCACTCCTTACTCTCCCTCTCACAATCCACAATCTCTCATCTTCTCTCTCTCTCTCTCTCTCTCTCTCTCTCTCTCTCTCTCTCTCTCTCTCTCTCTTCTTATTTTTCACCCATCCTCATTTTCATTCTGTTTTCCCCCTTTTTTTTTTATTTATTTTATTCCTTATCTCCCTCTCACAACAATCTCATCTTCTCTCTCTCTCTCTCTCTCTCTCTCTAGTACCTCTTCTATTTATCTTTCTCATTCTGTTTTTTTTTTTAATTTTTTTCCATATTCCCTACATTATTCTTTTTATCTTCCTTTTCTCTCCTTCTCGTTGTCCATTCACCTCTCTCTCTCTCTCTCTCTCTCTCTCTCTCTCTCTCTCTCTCTCTCTGGTACTCTTTAGGAGTAGGAGGCACGGTGGAGTAATGGGTAGCGGCTTGGATTGAGGAATCGGAGAGCCAAGTTCGAATTCCAGTCGAATCCATTACATTCACTTACGTGTTAACACCCGTGGGAAAGGTGTGAATCCTCTTTCTTCTCCCTCCAGCTATGGGTAAATAGCGGGACAGACTGGGTTCTATAGCCTTGGATGGCAACTGGTCTAGGAGAAGGAAAACTCTGAATTCAAACCTGCTTTTAGAGAGGAGGGTGAATGGAGTCTCTCTGAGCCTTGGTTGGCAATCCATTTTGTGATGGTGTCACGATAAAAACACCCTTGATAGCCCGAGCGAAGCAGCAAGAATTCAGCTATTTGACATGATTACGAACTACACCAATCAAAGTAAGATTACGAACTACACCAATCAAAGTAAGTATGACAGATAAGGAATACTGGAAAGGTGTAGTGAGTTCAATCTCGGCTGAGGCCGCAAGATGATGACGATGGTACTCTTTCTCTTTCTTTCTGTTCAGTGCTCACTTTCTTCATCTCCCTCCCCACTTGTTCACTTTCATTCTTTCTCTCTTTCTTTAATTCACTTTTTTTCCCCGTTGTTTTTTTTTTTTTTTTTTTGTTTTGTTTTCCTTCCGACTTATTTTCATCTTTTCATTTCTCATATTCTAGCATCAACTTCATTTTCCAATATTTCCCAAACAGGGATATTCCTTCAAGTTCTCATCTTTCTTCACCCCAATATTTTTTTTTTCTTTTCTTTTAACTGGGGGCAAATGTTTTCATCTTTCCCATACCTGGCACACTACGATTTTTTCATCACCCTCTACCTCCAAACTTATTGCCTTTTCTTCTTCCCATCCTTATTTTTTTTTTTTTTTTTTTGTATGTTTATATTTCTTATTGGTTCAAGTTGCCAAATAATTCCGCCAGGTGTCGTCCCACATTGAGCCGGGAAATCGGTTTATAATGGTCATATCAGGTTTCCCTATTAGGGTCAGTCGAATGGTTTCCTAATAACGATGTGTGTATGCATCTGTGTGCGTTCCTGTCCATATTTATATATGTCACAAAATACAGGGTTATATATGTGTGTGTGTATATATATATATATATATATATAGATAGATAGATAGATATATATATATATAGAGAGAGAGAGAGAAAAGAGAGAGAGAGGAAGATAATGAAAAGAGTATGTATGAAAAAATAAGTTACATATATAAGTAGGTAGATATGAAAAGACTAAAAAGATAGATAGATCTAATCAGACTGATATATATATATATATATATATATATATAGAGAGAGAGATTGAATAAATTATATATGTATATATATAAAGCTATCTATCTATCTGATTAGATCTATTTATTTATCTATCTATGCATAGATACATAGATAGATAAAAACTGAGATAGGTAGATAAATAATCAAGTGAATGAGATAGATAGATATGAAAAGAGTATATTAGGGACTTATAAAAAACTAAGTTAGGTATGTAAGTAGATAGACTGATAAATAGATAGACAGATATGAGAAGACTAGATTAGATAGATAGCTAGATAGATATATAGATAGATCTAATCAGTCTGAAATATATATATATATATATATATATATATATATATATATATATATATAGAGAGAGAGAGAGAGAAGAGAGATGATTTAATTGCTTCTAAATTAATTCCACCTTAAATATTTAAATAACAACATTAATAAATTTCTCTTCAAAATCTGATGTGTGATATTTTAACTCCCGAAATATTTTAATGGGAGTAGACGTTTATCCCCTGTTTCCTGTTAAGAATGGCTTCCTACTAAAGTCTTTTTCAATTCTATACTTCTAACATCCTCTCCTAAACTCTGAAATTTCATATAATTTATTTGTTTTACCGCAATAAGAGTAAACAGCTTCGTCTACCGTCCGGTTCATGCACCTCCTTGGAATTTTGAAGAAAAGTAGAGGTTTTCCTTTGTTTTCCGGTTTAGGAATGGGTTTCCCGTTTTTATTGTCTTCCACTCCAAGTAGCCGCTTGATTCTTACTGGCATTAACGCCTTGCATGAAATTGTATTAAAAATACATATGAAGACACTGACATAGATAGATAGATAGATAAATAGATAGATAGATAGATAGATAGATAGATAGATAGATAGATAGATAGATATGATAACACAAGGTCTGAAAGAGAATTGTGAAAAGTCTAGTTAAGATAGATTGATAGATACATAGATATGAAAAGACACGGTTTGATAGAGATTTATTAGAAGGCTAGGTTAGATAGATGCGAATAGACTGATAGATAGATAGATAGATAGATAGATAGATAGATAGATAGATAGATAGATATGAACAGACTGACATAGATAGATAGATAGATAGATAGATAGATAGATAGATAGATAGATATGAACAGAGATAGATAGATAGATAGATAGATAGATAGATAGATATGAACAGATATAGATAGATAGATAGATAGATAGATAATGTGTTAAATAAATGAGAGAATAGAAAGAGAAAAAAAACGGTTCATTTTTTATCCCTTTTATATTTTTTAATCTATGATGTTTTTAATTACACCAAATTTTATCGGCATTTGCTTTGTGATGAAAGTGAATATATCGTATGATCCTTGATATGAATTTACCGCAGAGGATTTCAAAATTAGGGCACATTCTCCACATTTTCTACCCTTGAATTACTTTATTTTCACTTTTAATCAGAACCGCATTCCTTAAATCGAACTTAATTTGAAAATATATTGAAAGTGGAGTAAATACGGAATACTCTACGGTAAATTTAGTTCCATAATCATACAAATATTACCTGCCTTCATAAAATGCTGCTAATACAGTATGATACAGTTAAAAACAACAACGAGAAAAAGAAATGGAATATATATGTTATACGTTATTTATATAGACACAAATATTTAAGTAAATGCTCTGTTTATAATAAACAGTATTAACAACATTTACCGGCCTGAATGCCTGAGAAATTTCATAGAAAATATGCGTCCTCCGACAGGAATCAAGTCTGTATCCTATACGGAACCGTCATATAGTCTGACGTGCTATACCAGTTTAGGTACGTTAAAATCGACCTTGCTAACCAGACGTTCCTTCAGGCACAGAATTGATTTGTGAATTTAACTATATTGTCGACATGGAAAGAAAAAAGAATCTTAGTACAAAGGAAGTTTACATTAACCAGAACGAGGCTTTAAAAGAAGCGTCTCTCATTTTTTTTTTGGATTTTGTAATGTAAATATATTTCATTCAAAAAAACTTTCGATTTCATTTTTTGCGTTGAAGAAGTCGGAAGGCGAAACGCGTCTGCAACAAACTAAAATTTTTGAGTTGTCATATTATACCTTAATTTGTCTTGTGGGTTTTTTTGAAAATTATATATATATATATATATATATATATATATATATATATATATATATATATATATTCGAGTCATTCGTTAAAAAAAGTTCTAAGTCTCACCCAGAATGAGCTGAAGAAACAAGACAATTTTCAAATATTTTTTTCAATATAGTCTCTCTTGACATCACTCCTGTTCAGGTTCTGGTCTGGTGTCAGAATTCTTGGAACTCATCTTGCAGACAGCTTGCTGATCAATGGAGATCTCAGTTAAAACAATATGGACCGAATCAGAACTCCTATATGACTTTGCTATGTGCTGGACAGTAAGACGTCGGACATCCAAAACTGGTCATCTTATCTGGTTTATCGTCACAAGACAAAATACTGATTGAATTTAATATGAGCTTTGTTTTTAAATTTCAGCAATAATCATATATATATATATATATATATATATATATATATATATATATATATATATATATATTCGAGTGTCGTTCAAAAAAGGTTGTAAGCCTCTCCAGAATGAGCTGAAGAGACAAGACAGTTTTCAAATATTTTTTCAATATAGACTCTCTTGACATCAATTCATTTAATGAATAAGGCTTAAGTATTGCAATCTCACCATGAAAGAAGGTGACCTCCTGGTCCTCCAAAAACGCCTCCACAGCGGTGAAGTGGTGAACCTAGGTCTCATCTTGAGATACTTATCAGCGGTGGAAATTCTCATGGTCAGACTGAGAAGTGTCCTGGAAATGGCAACCCTTTTCAGGTTTCTTCTCTGGTGTCAGCCTTCTTGGAACCTATCTTGCAGACAGCTTGCTGATGCTGAAAATCTTAGTTGAAACAGTATGGACCAAATCAGAACTAACGCTTATGAACTTTGTTATCTGTTGGACAGTAAGACGTCGGTCATCCAAAACCATATGGTGAATGGAATCAGTGGTTGAAGTTTTTTGACTACCTGACCGCGGGTCACCTTCTGTGTTGCCACTGCTCCGCTTGAAATGAGCAGCTCCATCAGTTATCTTAATTCTGATGCATAATACTGTTCATTAATAGTTTTTACCTTTTTCAGGTAGTTTATCATGATTACCCCTTCAGAATCCCCGCCCAAACAGAAATCAACTGACGCTGCCTGGTTGAACTTTTTTTCCACTTTTTGTTTTGAATCTTTGATACAGGTTCGAACTCGTGAACCCAGGTTTCATTCTTGAGATACTCATCAACATTGGAAATTCTTAGTGTCAGCCAGGAAGCAAGAGAGAAGTATTCTAGAAATGTCAACCCTTTTCAGGTTCTCTCCTGGTGTCAGCATTCTTGGGACCCATCTTGGGATCCATCAGCTTGCTGATCTTGAAGATCTCAGTTAAAACAATATGGAGAGAATCAGAACGAACGCCAATGGATTTTGCTGTCTGTGCTGGACAGTAAATCGTCAGTCATCAAAACCATACACTGAATGGCATCAGTGGTTGCCGTTTTTGGACGACCTGACCGCGGGTCATCTTTTTTGTACTGTCCTGATGATCCATTTGAATTCGGCAGTTCACTTCTTCACAGTTGCATCGGACTGGGGAATGCACAGCAAATCTCTGTAACATGCTCTCATAGATTTTTTTTTAGGTACCATACCTTTTTTTTATAGATAATTTTATGACTGCTCGGCCTCTGTTTTGCCCATTGTTAGACTTATTTCACACCTCTTATGGATTTGCATGGGCCTATATATATATATATATATATATATATATATATATATATATATATATATATATATATATAGTTAAATCTAGAGAGCCAGACAAACCTAGCAAGGTTTCACCTATTTGGATCGTCAGGGAAGGACGATTATTTTCGGCTAATTTACATGTTCTTGGTTCTTTTTTTTTATACCTTTTTTCCCCATTTGGTATTGGCTTCGTTATTTGCAAATCAATACACCAAAGGTTTTCCGAGCCAGTATAGTTTCTTATACTTATAAGATTTATATATATATATATATATATATATATATATATAAGTGAACATAGAAGTCAACAAGTCTGTTTCATGCTATATGCAATCGTCAGGCCACATATAGCATGAAACAGACTGTCGCCTCTAAGTGTTGACTTCTATGTTCACTTTTATATTTACACACGCTCTATCTCTGATATTGAGCACTTTATCCCATAAATATAGCACACGTTAAGACTATATTTCTTTATATATATATATATATATATATATATATATATATATATATATATATATAATAGTGTGCAGTTCAATTTATATTACAATGTATCATTCATATAAAAAAATAGATTAGTAAATTTAATGATATAAAATGGCGAAAACTCTTAACCACATATTTGATTTAAAGGAACTGATCCGACGTGTTTTTTTTTCAGGATAACAGCTCTTTACATTATTTATTGAACTATTTAGTTCATGCCACATTGACTGATAAACTCCTACTACAAAAAAATTCTCAAATTACCATATTAGTAAAAAACGCACTATTAAATTTAAAAAAAATATTCAACCTTAGCGTTGCGACTGTACTCTCCAAAAGTTTGTATCAGTTAACAATAACACATTTCTAAAAATACATCTTTCGATTCGCATTTAATCTTTCGTCGCTAATGCTACCTGGATTTACAAAAAACAAAATAATTTCCATGCCTAAGGATGACTGAATGTACAGTCGAAAGTACTTCCAGATTTAAAAAAAGACCTTATACAACATATATTTATGCACTACTTTTGCTCTGCCCCACCCTATATATATATATATATATATATATATATATATATATATATATATATAGGATGGGGCAGAACAACTTTTTATTTAAATTTGGCGCCCTAAAGCGATGCTTGCTCCAAGGATGGTAGGGATGGACTTATTTGAGAGGGTGGGGCTTAAAGTTTTGTTCTGAACGTGCGTTATTTATTTTTTGTTTATTTTTCAGGAACTCCAGTGAGAATCATGGAGTGGACGAAGTTGGAACGCGCTTTCGCTGTTGAGGCATTTTTTTTCAAGGGGTCGCTCAATCGTCGCAACGCAACGTGCATTCCGTAGACATTTCAATATTGCCCCCCGTGGTCGTGTTCCTGGCCGGCAGTCGATTGTTTCAGGGGTAAACAACTTCAGGGAAACGGGTGATGTAAAGAAAAAGAAACTTGGCCTCCCACGAACAGCAAGGTCACCCCAAAACATTGACTCAGTGTATAGAGAAGAATGGACGCCATCTTACTGATATCATCTTTAAAACTGGTAAAAAATAAAATTTAAATGTTGAACTAGTTGCAGTTCAAAGAATTACATGTATACCTGCATTACTTGTGTTTTAATTGATATTCCAAATAAACAAGTTGCTCTGCCTGAAAATATATAGAAAATAGGAAGGAACTGGTTAGGTAAATAATCCAAAGTTCCTTAGTATTTTAGTTATTATTTTTAAAAAATAGTGCTCGATACAAAAGTAGAGCATACATATAATTATTTGTCTAAATAAATTGAGTTAAAGTATAGCTCTGTTCCATCTTCAAGCGAAATTTTGGGGAATAAAAAATTTCGCTTGAAGATGGAAAAGAGCTTATTTTGACTCAATTTAATTCAAATAATTATATTCTCCTTTTGGCTCTTGTTTTTGAAACATGAGACTTCTTATGTCATGAGTTGGAATCATATTTTTAAATAAATATATATATATATATATATATATATATATATATATATATATATATATATATATATAAAATGAATCTAAACAACCACTAAACGGATTTTCAATTTTCTTTCAGCTTACCCTGAAGATCCATTTAGATGAAATTTCATACAGGTTTTTCTGGTTCTTTAGGATTTATTTTAGTTACTCCAGCTCTACTTAGCATTTTGAGCGCTCTACGTTTTAGTCATACTAATCACTAGGTTATTTTTTTTCTTTGGACTAAAGACTTAAGGCACTAGTCTGTTTATTTCGCCCTATTCGGATGCTTTTAGTTTTTTCTTTGTCTTATTTCCAATTTTTTTTTCCTCGGCTAGCGATTTGTTTTGACTATCTAAGGTTTTTTTATCAAACGATTATTACTATTAGTATATATATATATATATATATATATATATATATATATATATATATATATATATTTTAAAAAAACTAGGTAATGCGTATGGGTAAACCTAAGGAGGATAAAATCCAGAGAGCTCAATGTAAATCCAGAGCAAATAATTTAAATAAAAACAGACCACTTTAAGGTTCCATGTAATAAATTATTTCACCACAGCCCTTTTAAAAAGGACTGCGGATCATCAGAATTTACTTCCAAACAAAAATGAAAAAAGAAAATTTACATTTTAACGGGCCGTATTAAACATATGTAAATTAACGAAGGCAAGGGAAGTGAGGGGGTGATAGATAGATTAGATAGATAGATAGATAGATAGATAGATAGATGAATAGATAATAGAGTAGATAGATAGATAGATAGATAGATAGATAGATACCAGAATAGATAGATAGATGAATAATGGCCAATAACATAGATAGATAGATAGATAGATAGATAGATAGATAGATAGATAGATAGATAGTATAGATAGATATAGATAGATAGATAGATAGATAGATAGATAGATAATGAAAAAATAGACATAGATAGATAGATAGATAATGGCCAGTAGATATAGATAGATAGATAGATAGATAGATAGATAGATAGATAATGAAAAATAGACATAGATAGATAGATAGATAGATAGATGCGTGCGTGCGTGCGTGCGTGTCCTCAGACGCGTCTGCTATTGAATTTACAATTTTTCGCTTTCATAATTTTTTTTTTAATCGAAGTTGCAATGTTTGTCTTCAGAGAAAATGGAAGCAGTTTTCTTTTTTCTTTTTTTTTTCGTATTAATTTTTCCTTGTATATTTTTCTTTTTGTTTTTAACGTCATATTTCTTCCTTTATTTATTTATTTATTTTTTTATTTGTTTTCTCTTCAAGTACATTGACTAGATATAGTCAAGTGTCGTCACCTGGAAACACCTTCTTTTGAAAGGTCATAAAAAACCAGCCCTGAACAAAGAGAAACCTCCAAGAACACTATAAAGCAACACTTGACAACATGGGCAGTCAAGTCGCTGTAGACTGTATCAACTTGTGTGTGTCTCCAAGTACACGGGCTTTTAAAAACCAATTTCTCTGCATTGAATCCTAACCCGCTCTGGTTTGTTGATTCTTATTTCTTGGTGGTGAGCGGGCATTCGGTGGCTGTGGGGGCCTCGGGTGATAAAATAACACATTTTTCATCGACCATCTGCTGTTTTTATCAATCTGCAAGTGAGTCAACTCAGAAAATGAAATAAATAATAACTTGACGACTGAGATGAGGTATCATGTATATTATTTACATTATTTGTCCTCATCTTTGTCGCCATATTTATCACAACGTTTCGGCCGTTGTACGCCCCGGCCTTCTTCATGTGCTTGGAATGCCAAACTGAAGGTTGGGGTAGACTGTTCATGTTTTTGATGGATGTCAGTTCTCTGTTACCTCCTGTTAATTGAAAGTTTTTCCAATACTTTTAACCGGGTATTGAACTCACATTTTTGTTCTAGTTCCACATGGATGTCAGTTATCTCCTGTTAATTCACTTCTCCGAGTTCTCCACTGCCTTAACCAGGTATTGAACTCACAACTCTTTAAACTATTCGGGTCCTGTCACTGGATCTAACCAACGCCTTTATTCACTGTGCCATGTGTCCTTGGGGACATCTGGTATGAATTTCTGGGTATTATAAACCTAATGTCTTCAGTAACCATTCTTACCAGTGCTCGTATTGCAATTTTTGCTGTTATCATTTTCCATGTTTTTACCAGAGCTCATATTGCAACTTTTTGTTCTAGTTCCACGTGCCATCTCCCATGGATGTCAGTTATCTCCTGTTAATTCACTTCTCCAAGTTCTCCACTGCCTTAACCAGGTATTGAACTCACAACTCTTTGGATCCTGTCATTGGATCTAACCAACGCCTTTATCTACTTAAGGCCACATGGCACAGTGGATATAATTTTATTCATTTTTTAATATGTCCTGAAAGTTTCTTTAAAATCCGACAATTATTTGATTTTTGCAAGAATTTACAAATCAACCGGAAAAAAAGCACAAAAAAAACTAATCGTAATGCTTACGTCCACCGCTGACGTAAGTAAAACAATATTTTTAACCATAATTTCGGACGAACAAGAACACCAACACTTGACGACAAAATGGGCAGTCAAGTTGCTGTAGACTGTATCTACTTGTGTGTGTCTTCATCTTCTTACGTCCACTGCTGACGTAAGTAAAACAATATTTTTAACCAAAATATCGAAAGTGCTATAAAGGATTAACATGTTTGAAAAAATAATAAAGAATTCTTTGGTCTTTCCTCTTAATAATAACATAAACTATGGGCAAATAGTAAACTGTAGACGGGTAGAAAATGAATTGGGTAGGGTGAAACACACACACGTATTTTTTTGTGAAATTGGAGTGGATTTGAACAGCGAAATTAAATCAGAGCATTTTTGTTTACTGATGGTGAAACCTGATCTAGGGCAGGAGCTGTACCCATTGGAACTAGGTCATTAGAAGACAAATGGTCGAAATAATTTTTATTGATTAAAACTTTGAATGGAGTTGAGTAAGCAAGGAAGACCTTTAGAATTCACATGATTTTGGTTGAAACAGCCATAACCCCGTGATAATCGCGTGCGAAGTAGTAAGGCCAAAGGTCGGTTATGACCAGCTGGGTTTTTCTATATAAACGCGTAGTTATACTGAAAAAGAGGCAGACGGGAGAGAGAGACAGAAGAGAATTAGCCCAGGCAAGAGTTGGGCTAGAGACAGTGGAGAGTCGAGTTGGGGACTCAAGGAGGAGAGAAAGTGACGCCAGAGACTGGAAAGAAGCGTCCGCTAACATGCACTGTTGATATAGGTACCGCTGCTTCTGCTACCACGAATATTACTATTACTGTTACTACTGCTAAGGAGGAACGCAACTATAAACTTTAACCTGTGCACAGAAATCTTATTCCCCGAGCGCAAGAGTCGTTTATCGTTCTGAGGCGTTTTAATATAAGTTAATCATAACACACACACACACACACACACACACACACACACACACACACTCTCTCTCTCTCTCTCTCTCTCTCTCTCTCTCTGTCTCTGTCTCTCCGTCTCTCTGTCTCTCTGTCTCTCTCTCCAGAATCCAGTGTATGCGTCTTTATGTCAATTACTTTTCTTTTCTGTAACCCATTTTCTTTTCTATACTATTCTTTTCTGCTATATAAAAGACATTAACAATTCAATCATTGAATAGTTGTTTGTCAGGCTTTATGCAGATATTTTTTTTCATTTTATTTTATTTTATTTTTTTTTATTTTTTGCTGCATTCTAAATTTCTTAGCGCAGACTCTCCAGTCGTGTTTACATCTTCAGTCGACCGTGAATGGATGAACATCACTTATTGCTTTCTGGATCACAAACCAAACACAACGTGGGCAGGAAACAGGATTAAACCTACTGCGAGAAAAAAATCTGCCTCGTCAGTCAGGTATCGAAAGATAGATGATCGCCTAAGCGTGTATCACGCATGGTACATAACTGACTGAATTATGTATTATTGAAGAGTCAGAGAGCCAGGTTCGAATTCCAGTCGATTCTATTATATTCACTTACGTGCTAATACCCTTGTGAAAGTTCTGACTCTTCTTCTTCTCCTCCCAGCTGTGGGAAAATAGCAGGCTAGACCGGGTTCTATTGCCTTGGATGGCAACTGGTCTACCGCAAAAAGAAATGGCAAACTACTGCGGGGGAAAAAAATCTGCCTTGTCAGTCATGTATCGAAAGATAGATGATCGCCTGAGCGTTTATCACGCATTGCACATAACTGACTGAACACAATATGGAAATATACACTTTCCTTTTCACTAAGATAGCGACAAAGAAAACACACACACACACACACACTCTCTCTCTCTTTTTCTTTCTTCTATATTACACATACTTACTTTCCTTCCTTCTATTGTTCCTATCTTCCGTAACTGACAGAACCCGGCCATAGCTTATGTGGGTCAGTGAACGTCATAAAAAATCAACCAATGACAACACGTCCTACCAAAAAAATCAAACAAAAAACACAGATGTGTCAAGCCCAACAAAATGAAGAAACATATCATATGCGCAGTTTGAGACGCAAGGGTTGGAGATTCATTGGATGTTGAGTTTGACCTGACGTACGACTCCAGAAGAAAAAAAAAAGAAAGGATGAATTTAATTCAACAAATTAATTTCTGTCAGCCAAAAACAACAACTCTGTATCAACTCTCAATATCACAAAAGGGACTATGACGATAGTCACCCCACTTTAACCAAATGGAATCCACAATAAAATAGTACTATAGACAGTAAATTTGGCTTTTTACTTATGTATTAACACAATCTGCATCTCTATATACCATAGAACCATGATTACCCACGCCCTGAATGGACACTGCATATAGAAGACGCCCGATTCATACAGTAGCAGTCGTGATACATTTAAAAAGATAGTGATTTTACAAGCATGAAAATGATGTGATTAAAATGTCTATGCAGTTCATAGACTCAGTCAATGGATACCTCCAGGTCTTGTAATCGAACTCAAAATATCTTAAACCTATTTGTTTGCTTTCTTTAAAATGTCAACGCTTTCCCAGATGTCTTTTATCGGGAACCTCGGAGTAACTTAACTCGACAAAGACTTGTATTATTTTTTTACAACACAATAAATGTCTGGAGTTGCTTTCTCATGCGTATTTAGACTGAAAAACCACGATGACTCGGTCGGCAAATGTTTGTCCATTTTTTGAAAAATGTTTTTTTTTTTTTTTTTACTCAATTTATTTTCTCTTAAAAGGTTTTTATTGTTCGCGTTTTTTATCTTATGTTTATCTTTTCTTTCTTTTCCTTCCCGTTTTTATTTTCTTCTTTTTCTTTTTCTTAGCTTCGAATATTTATTTTTCTTCCTTTCTATCGATTAATGTCTTCTCTTCATTGTAAGTCATTCATTTCGTCTTTCTTTTATCAACTATTTTTCTTCTTTTTTTTTCTTCCGTTCCTAATGTCGCTCTGATCCTTTCTTTCTTTCTCTCTCTTTTTATTCATATTTTTTCTATTTACTTTTCTTCCTTTCTATCGATTAATGTCTTCTCCTCATTGTAAGTCATTCATTTCGTCTTTCTTTTATCAACTATTTTTCTTCTTTTTTTTTCTTCCGTTCCTAATGTCCTCTGATCCTCTTTTTTATTCATTTTTTTCTATTTCTCTCTTCCTTTCTATCGATTTTATTCATTATTCTTTTCTTTTCTTTATTTTTTTCTTTTTTTTTTTCCGTTTTTCCGAAATTTTCTTTCTTTTTATTCTTTGTTTAATTTTGATTTACTTTTCTGGTTTATTTTCCTTTTTCTTTTTCATCAAGTTTGTATTTTCCTTTCAAAATTCATTTCATTAATTCTTCTTAGCAATTCATTTTCTTCTTCTTCTTCTTCTTCTTCTTCTTCTTCTTCTTCTTCTTCTGTTTCTTCTTCTCTTCACTTTTATCTTTGTCGTTTTTCTTCATTTTTCTACCTTTCCTTCTTTTTCTTCTTCGTCATCGACTCATCTCTTTTTATCCTCCTTTTTCTTCTTCTTTTTCTTCTCTTTCTTCTTCTTCTTCTTCTCTTTACTTTTATCGTTGTCGTGTTTCTTCATGTTTTCTACCTTTTTTCTTCTTTTTCTTCTTCGCCTTCTACTCTTCTCTTTTTCTCCTTTTTTCTCCTTTATTAATCTTTTTTTTTTTTTCTTCTTCTTCTTCTTCTTCTTCTTCTTCTTCGTCGCCGACGTCATCATCTCTCAATCTCTTTTATTTCCTGTATATTTTTTCTTTTACCTCATTATCTCAATCTTTAGCCTTGTACATTTTGTTTTCTTTTCTGTTACCTTACTTTCTCATTCTCTATTTTTTCATGTATTTTCTTCATTTCTTTAACCTCACTATCTCAGTCTTTATTCTTTATGTATTTTTCTTTTATTTTACCTCACTTTCAAACCTTTATTTCTTCAGGAATTTTCTTGAATTCTTTTTACCTCACTGTCACAGTCTTTATTCTTTCATGTATTTCTTTTCTTTTATTTCACTACCTCAATATTTATTTCTTCATTTAACATCTTTTCTTTTTATCTCAATTTCTCCTAGGATAGCTTCTTCTTGGTACATTATTTCTTTCTCCCAGATTTTCTCTCTCTCTCTCTCTCTCTCTCTCTCTCTCTCTCTTCGTCTATCTTTCGTTTATTTACCTCACTTTTCTCATAATATCTTTTTCTTCATTGATTTGTCTTCTACCTCACTTTCCCGTTCAGTCTCTCTTCTTTTTTTTCCATATAATCCTCTTATCTCTTATCTCTCGTTTTCCCGCAATTTCTTTTCTTATACATGTTTCTCTTTCTTCTTTTAACTCACATTGAACTGTGTCGCTTTTTGTCTTGCATATTCCTTTCTTTTTTACCTATCTTTCTCTTTCACTTTCTCTTTCTGTGAATAACTTTATTCTCTTCTTCCCTTCTCCTCTCTCTCTCTCTCTTTTCCTGTCTTTCTTTAACGTTTCTTCTCTTTTCTCTCGCCTTCATGTTGTTCTTTCTTTCAACAGCTGTGCACATTTTACTGCGAAAAATAAATGATTTCTTCAACTATCGAGAAGATTCATTCGTCGAGAAATTCAATATATATATATATATATATATATATATAATATTGATGGCCAATATATATATATATATATATATATATATACAAGAGAATAAAATCCAGGTAGAGCTCTATGTACAAGACAGAGTAAGAATATAATATAAAAGGCTCAAACACCAATATTCCATGGTTATAATTTATTACATTTGAATCATAATGATGATCCAATTCATCAGACCTACAAATTCAGGAAGCTTTTTGAATTTGTAGGTCTGATGAATTGGATCATGATTACGATCCCAATGTAATAAATTATAACCATGGAATGTTACTGTTTGAGTCTTTTATATTATATTACACACACACACACACACACACACACACACACATATATATATATATATATATATATAATATTTAAGTATGCTATATTTATGAGATAAACTGCTCAATAGCTCAGTATCATAGATAGATCGTATGTAAATATAAAAGTGGATATTGAAGTCAACACCCAGAGGCGACAAACTGTTTCGTGATAAACGGAATCGTCAAGCCACATGGAATATATATATATATATATATATATATATATATATATATATATATATATATATTAACTCAAACAAATAAATAAACAAACCTCTAAAAAAATAACCGCCAGAATAGATTACCCACATTGCCTCCCTGACTATATATATATATATATATATATATAAATATCCGAGTAAAAATTCAGCAATCGTGGCCTGACGATTGCATCCATCATGAAACACCCTGTCGCCTCTGAGTGTTGACTTCAATGTTCACTTTTATATTATATATATATATATATATATATATATATATATATATGTTTTATATTCTGTGCATTTTGGCAGCATACTTTCATTTAAGCATGTCTGATTAAACAAGTTAGTTTGTTGTTTTCGTTTATTTTAATAAGATCCTTTCATATCACGTATAACCTTTGTTATTTCATGATTAAACAATGCAAGAAAGGTACCATGGTTATATATATTCATTTTATTTTCTGAGTACTTTCGACATATTCACAATATCATCTTCTGGGTTATGATGACTAGTATATTTAGCTGCGTGCCAGAAGTAATTTTTTCTCTTTGTGGTTAAACGGTTAACAATCCGGTTATGCGCAATTTCATAAACGGTTATTTTTTTTTTAATTTTTCATTATTGTAAAGGTTATAATATAGGGGAGGTAACTTAGTTAAATATTGAGTTCTTTTGGTAGTTTATAGCTTATTACTGATCAAGAAGACTAACGTTACACCTTTCTGACCATTGCTCAATTAAGACTCAATTAGGATTCATTTAAACACACGCGGAAACATACCAAACTCCATCTGCAACATACGTCTTGAAAACACAAGTTTAATAGACTAATCCACATGTAAAAGAAAAGCCTAAACACAATAGAACCCTAAATAATAAAACAGAAAAAGCCAACACTTAGTAACATCCACTATGAACACGGCCACAATGTGATGGCCGTTTTTGGAAAATAAAAATTATTTCTTTAACACTAGATGCATACATAAAAATCCATACATTGTTGAAAAATAAATAAAAAAAATACATCCTCGATAATGCCTAAAGGAATAGCCGAAAGCGCTCGGATATGCAGAATATTTGAACAAATAAATTTATGCGTTATATATTTTGAATAAATTCATCCAAAATTAAAATAATTTAATTACTAATTTCAATATAAAAATAATTCTAAAACATCACTTACATATTTTCGTTTATTAAACACTGAATTTTATCTCTTCATGTCCTCCATAATTTGGCTGACTTTTCAATCAACCTAATGAATATTTATGAGCGTTCCCATACCTAAAGGTTTTGAAAAAACCAATAACATTTTGGCTCTTGCATATAAATTCATATTTTTGCTTTGGTGAAGTTCCTCAGAGGAGGAAATGCGTCGGTTATGATATGTTTTTCTTTACTCTTTATTCTCATTGTCCTTTTACAGGTATACATTATCTGTCATCTATATGTAGATTCTCGGACTAATACCAAATCGGTCGGGTTTCGATCCCAGCTTGAAACAATCGAACGTCTAGCCGCACTGAAGATCTGTGTTACAGCGAAACAGACTTCTGTGGATATATATATATATCCGTCATAAAGAGATAATTTTTTTATTCCCACTCATAATAAAAATTAAAAGTAAAAGAAAAAAAAAACGAGCTCGTTAACCGGAATATATACATACATACATATACATATATATATATATATATATATATATATATATATATATATATATATATATATATCCATGTAAAAATGAGTTTAAAAAAAAAGTTTTAGACATCTTTTTAAATTTATTTAATTATATATATATATATATATATATATATATATATATATATATATATAATCATTTTTTAAATATATGATTAATCTATTACATAAAGTTCTCATGCAAAAAAAATCAAATCGAAGTTTTCAATATAATTATTAAAATTAAATTGAAGTTAAATATTATTAAATAATATTAAATATTATTTAATAATATATAAATTTAATTTTTAATTTTAATAATTATATTGAGGTTTTTCGGTTTTTATTTTTAAATATATAACAAAAATATATATATTCTGGATATAATCATATTTTTTAAAAAATAAATATAATATTTTTCTACTTATGTATATAGCACTTTTTTTAAAATAAAAGCAAAATAAAAGAATATATATTATTTATATTAACGTGTTATTTATATATATTTATACATATATATATAAATATATATATATATATATATATATATATATATATATATATATATATATAAATAAAATATATATATATAAAGAAATATATATATTAATTATATATATATATATGATAAATATCAATCAGAGATATATATATAAATATAAAAGTGAACATTGAATTCAACACTTATATATATTTCTAGTTTTATAAAATATATTATATTTTCAAATATATTAACACATAAACAAATGCATTTAAATGACAATTGACGATCGTTATTTTCTTTCTTTCTAATCCTATTTAATTATTATAAATCGAATATAAACTTGTGGCTTTTTTCACAATAGCAATATATAAACATTTTTGTTAACACATGGACACTCCCGCAGACGGAAAGGTACTTTTTTATATGTGTGTGTGTTGATTAATCCCTTTACGCCTGAAATCAGTTTAAAAATTTTTTGAAAAAAACTCAAAAGAAAAATAAAAAATGAACAAACTGATGACATATAAGAAAACAAAAAGAGAGGGCTTTCATGGATGGAGACAAAATGATTACTGATGAATGGAAACAATTTTAAAAATGCAAATGGCCGAAAAGGAAATGAGAAGAAAAAAAGAAGAGAAAGAATGCAAAATCGTCGGAATAAAGAAGACAAGCCAAAGAAAAAAGACAGGATATTTAAAGAAACATGAGACGAGAATAAAAAAAAATAAACGCATGGATTTAGAAGAAAGAACGAATAATGAAAGAAAGACATAAAGAATAAAGAAAACGAAAAATATTTTAAACAAAAAAGACTAATGACAGACTGTAAAAAAAATGTAATATTATATTAAATTTAAAAATGTTTTAACCTTATAAACTAAATGATAAGACGATTAATACACCGGTCATAAGATTAGGCGGAAATCAATATATATATACATATTTTTTATATTTGTTTAAATGTGTCTTCTTGATTTATAGTATTGGTATATAAATACACACATGACTATTCATATAATATATGGGAAAATAATGAAACCCAAATTGAGGACAAAATATACATAAAAAAATATGGAAAATTTTATTTTTTAGTTGAAAATTAAATATTAAAATTAATAAATTATTATTCTCGACAAAAAAAATATCTTTTTTATCAAAATAGAATTAGGTGAATCATTAAATCTCTCAAATTTTTTTTTTATAAAGAATTATATTTATCATCACGAATTATCCTAAAAATTTTGTTAAAAAATTGAATAACCCATTATCTTTTGATATGAAAAAAAACAAAATAAACCCAAATTATTTTTAAAACTGATTTTTAAAAATGAATATTCTATATTATTTCATAATTGAATTTTTTTCTTATATTTAAAAACCATTATTTGTTAAATTTAAAAACAAGCTAAACTCATTTTTAGTAAAACTTTTATAGAAAAATGTTTTTGTTTGTGTGTGTGTGTGTAGTTATCGAATTTTAATATTTCAATTTTCGACAGAAATAAAAAGCATTTTTTTTTTTTGCATCTTATAAATGAAGTTAAAAGTTTAGGATTTAAAGACCGACTTAAAATTATAAAGTTTTAAAAAATCGATATTGGAAAAAATCGATTTTTCATATGGAAATGGGTTTTGAAAGGAATAAATAGTTTTATTTTTTTCTTTTTTGACAAAAAATAAAATGGTTGTCATTGAATAGGCAAGAGAAGATTCTATAAATGTTAAATGAGAACCTCCTGAATGACACGAATGGTAAGCATGGATAGTAAAAAAATTTGGATTTTGCATTCGTCACTATATGGGAAAATTTAAATCTGCAAATCACTTTTCTCCAAAACTCATTCGAATTGCTTAATCTTTCAATGATTTTTGAGAAATATTTCGCAGAACTAAATTGGAAATAAAAGTATTTCATTAAAAATTTTTTTCAAACTTTTGATCCAGGAAATGTTTTTTAAAGCTGTCTTTAAAAAATGTTTTTTGTTTAGTAAAATTTTTTTGTCTGAACAGATTTAATAATACAGTATAGAGAT